TCGACATGGATTCGGTTACGTATTGCTAATATTATTTTCCGATTTCATACTATGAAGGAAAAAAAGCAAATCTCCAGGTGCCTCTTTTACTGGTTCCATGCGATGGATAAGTGGACTCCAATGGCGAGCATTCCGAAATATTTTGTAAAAGAATTTCTGAATTGATAAAGAAAATTGTTCCCACCAGGTTTCGAACCTGGGACCTTCCGCGTGTGAAGCGGACGTGATAACCACTACACCATGGGAACACGTTCCTATTTATGAACGAGAATTTCAATTATTAAGAGAAGTTTTAGAACATTTTATATGTTTCATCTTCTGAAAAATATTTCGATTTCATCCTATGAGAAAAAACAAATCCTCCGTTTGCCTCTTTTTACTGGTTCAGAATTATTGATGGAAAGTTGAACCGATAGCGAGCATCACGAAATATCTTGTAGAAGTATTTCTGGATTGATAAAGTAATTTTTTCCCACCAGGTTTCGAACCTGGGACCTTCCGCGTGTGAAGCGGATGTGATAACCACTACACCATGAGAACACGTTATTATTCGTGAACGAGAATTTCAATTATTAAGAGAAGTTTTAGAGCATTTTATATGTTTCATCTTCTGAATAATATTTCGATTTCATCCTATGAGAAAAAACAAATCCTCCGGGTGCCTCTTTTTACTGGTTCAGAATTACTGATGGAAAGTGGACTCCAATGGCGAGCATTCCGAAATATTTTGTAAAAGAATTTCTGAATTGATAAAGAAAATTGTTCCCACCAGGTTTCGAACCTGGGACCTTCCGCGTGTTAGGCGGATGTGATAACCACTACACCATGAGAACACGTTATTATTTATGAACGTGAATTTCAATTATTAAGAAAAGTTTTAGAACATTTTACATGTTTCATCTTCTGAATAATATTTCGATTTCATCCTATGAGAAAAAACAAATCCTCCGGGTGCCTCTTTTTACTGGTTCAGAATTACTGATGGAAAGTTGAACCGATGGCGAGCATCACGAAATATCTTGTAAAAGAATTTCTGGATTGATAAAGAAATTTGTTCCCACCAGGTTTCGAACCTGGGACCTTCCTCGTGTGAAGCGGATGTGATAACCACTACACCATGGGAACGCGTTCTTATTTATGAACGAGAATTTCAATTATTAAGAGAGGTTTTCGAACATTATATATATATGTTTCATCTTTTCGAATAATATTTCGATTTCATCCTAAGAGAAAAAACAAATCCTCCCGGGGCCTCTTTTTACTGATTCAGAATAACTGATGGAAAGTTGAACCGATGGCGAGCATCACGAATAATCTTGTAAAAGAATTTCTGGATTGATAAAGAAATTTGTTCCCACCAGGTTTCGAACCTGGGACCTTCCGCGTGTTAGGCGGATGTGATAACCACTACACCATGAGAACACGTTATTATTTATGAACGTGAATTTCAATTATTAAGAAAAGTTTTAGAACATTTTACATGTTTCATCTTCTGAATAATATTTCGATTTCATCCTATGAGAAAAAACAAATCCTCCGGACTAGTTGCCTCTTTTTGCTGGTTCCAAAATTACTGATGGAAAGTTGAACCGATCATGAGCATCTGAAATATCTTAGCAAAATTTCTGGATTGATAAAGTTGTTCCCACCAGGTTTTCAGACGGACCTTCCGCGGACGTGATATCCCACTACACCATGAACACGGTCTTGTTGCTGAACAGGGAATTTCAATTGTCAAGAAGTTTTGAACTTGTTTTATATTTTCATCTTCTGAATAATATTTCGATTTTACTCAGGTGTCTCTTTTTACTGGTTTAAATTATTGGAGAGTAGACTCCAATGGCGAGCATTCCGAAAATAAAAATTTCTAGTTGATAAAGAAATTTGTTCCCCACCAGGTTTCGAACCTGGGACCTTCCGCGTGTTAGGCGGATGGCATTAACCACTACACCATGAGACACGTTTTACTTATGAACGTGAATTTTAATTATTAAGAAGTTCTTTAGAACATTTACATGTTTCATCTTCTGAATAATGTTCATCATATAGAAAAAACAAATCCTCCTTTACTGGTTCGGTACTGATGGAAGTAGACTCCAATGGCGAGCATTCGAAATGTTTGTAAAGAATTTCTGGATTGATAAATTTATTTCCTGAACTCCGAACTGGGACCTTCCCGCGTGTTGAAATGGATGTGATAACACTACACCATATGAGAACGTTTTACTTATGAACGTGAATTTCCAATTATTAAGAGAGTTTTTGAACATTTCTGTTTATCTTCTGAATAATGTTTTCGATTTCATCCTATGAGAAAAAACAAATCCTCCGGGTGCCTCTTTTACTGGTTAATTCAAGAAAGTACCAGTAGATGAACTCCAATGGCGAGCATTCCGAAATATTTTTGTAAAAGATTTTGAATTGATGTGAGCTTTGTTTACCTGGTTTCGAACCTGGGACCTTCGCGTGTTAGGCGGATGTGATAACCACGCAGAAGACACGTTGTATTCGTGGGCGTGATTTCAGTATTAAGAAAACTTTTACACATGTTTCATCTTCTGAATTATATTTCGATTTCATCTATGAGAAAAACAAATCTCCGGGTGCCTCTTTTTTACTGGTTCGTACTGATTTAAGTGGACTCCAATGGCAGCATTCAAGAAATATTTTGTATAAAATTTCTGAATTAGTAAAGAAAATTCTTCCACCAGGTTCGAACCTGGGACTTCCGCGTCATTGGAATGATAACCACCACCATGTGAGAACGTTATTCCTGGTGACAGATTTCAATTATTAAGAAAACTTAGGAACTGTGTTCATCTTCTGAATTATATTGATTTCATCCTATGAGAAAAAACAAATCCTCCGGTGCCTCTTTTACTGGTTCAGAATTACTGATGGAAAGTGGACTCCAATGCCGAAAACGTCGAAATATTTTGTAAAAGAATTTCTGTATTGATAAAAGAAATTATTGCCTGGGTTTTCCGAACCTGGGACCTTTCCATGTTAGGCAGGTCTTGATATTTCCACTACACCATGAACACTTGTTATCGTGAACATATCAATTATTAAGAAAGGTTTAGAACATTTTATATGTTTCATCTTACTGAGATAATATTTCGATTTCATCCTATGAGAAAAATAAATCCTCGGTGCCTCTTTACTGTTCAAATACTGATGATACCGAGATTGTGCGTGCATCACAAGAGTATCTTATAAAATTTCTGGTTGATAAAGAAATTTGTTCCGAGGTTTCGAACCTGAGGATTCTTCCGGTAAGAAGCGGACATTGTACCGACTACTCACGAAACGTTCTTGATTTATGAACGAAATTTCATGTTATTAAAGAGAAGCTTTTATTTTCATCTCTGATTAATATTTCCATTTCATCGTCTCGAGAAAAATCCCTCCAGTGCCTTTTTACTGGCAAAATTCATTGATGTGAAGAGAACTCAATGGCATCCAAAGTATCTTGTAGCAAAAAAAGATTTCTAGTTGATAAAGAAATTTTGTCCTGGTTTCCGAACACTGGGACCTTCCAGCTATACGTGATTCGATAGCCCGAACCTTTTGCACACCATCAGAACTGTGATTTGTGCAAATTAGATAGTAAAGTTTAGAAGACATTTTATATGTTTCATCTTCTGTAAATATATTTTCGATTTCATCTATGAGGAAAAACAAATCCTCCAGGTGCCTCTTTTACTGGTTCAGAATTACGATGGAAGTAGGCTCAATGGCGAGCATTCGAAATATTTTGTAAAAGATTTCTAGATGATAAAATGTTCTCCACTAGTTTTCCAGACCTGCGACCTTCCGCATGTGAGCGATGGATAACCACCTACACCATGAGAACACGTTATTATTCATGAACGAGTAAATTATGTAGAAGAACTTTTAGAACATTTTATGTTCATCTTCTGAATTATATTTCGATTTCATCTGAGAAAAAACCACAATCCTCCAGGATCTTCTTTACTGGTTCAAATTACTGATGGAAAGAAATTGACCCAATGGCGAGCATCACAGAGTATTTGAGAAGATTTCTGTGATATGATAAATTGTTTCCCACAGGTTTCAACCTGGGACCATACATTGATTCGGAGTGATAACCACACTGCAGGAACACTTTTCTTGTACCAGACGAGAATTTCAGATGGTAAAGATTTTCAGACATTTTAGTGTTTTATCTTCTGATATTTCGATTTCATTCTATGAGAAAACAAATCCTCCCTGGGTACTCTTTGGTTCAGAATAACTGATGGAAAGTTAGACATTGAGCATCTC